GAAAGGAAAGCTGAAATCTGATTCCACCCCCTCTGTTTAAGGTTGGTTTTTCTTAACATAGATGGCTTCCTTCACGCCCCTCTCATACCACCTATTTTCTTTGTCCAAAATGTGAACATTCTGGTCCTCAAATGAATGTCTTTCGTCCATAAGGTGTAGCTGTACCACCGAGTCTTGTACCGAGGAGGTCAGCTTTTAAAAACCTAAAATGAAGCGATTGGGTTGATTAATTCCTACTATCATCACAACCCCAACTCCTTTGCAGAGGACAGAAGACCTCGCCTGTTCATCCATGCCAACAATTGCCTGTAACGTCCCGCCTTTTAAAAGGCACAGGCAGGTATGGGGCATTGCAGGCTAACAAAGAAGCCAATCGACCCCCATTCCAAAGGGGTGGACCCGTTCGTCCAGTTCAATTTACGTGTTTTCTAAACAAAAACAAGGCTTTGTTGGGGTGCTGTATAAAATCTGGAACTCAACGCTCTTTCTGACGTTCTGAATTGAAAAAGCTTCCTGGATGGGAAGAGAAACGTCTTCAAACTTGGAAACAAAGTCCAGTGGATTGTTTTTATATTTAACTTTTTTGGAATTACTATGACCTGGATGACAGAGAATCTTTACCAGCATATTCCATTCTACAAAGGTGGCATTATGACAGCATCAGAAAACAGGCTTCAATCAGAGGCACCCATATACATGTCATTACTGTATATGTGGGCCATATCTGGCGATGATATTCAAATTTAGCTTCCTAATCTCCATAGCAAACCTACTGACAGGGAGCAGAGACCTTTTATGCTGGAGGCAACCCTGATTCAATTCAATCTCTCAAAAGAGAGTTTAAAAGGGTTTTTTCTCTCCACGCTCGCTGCATGCATGCTTTGTGTTAGGGATTGCCCGAGGGGTCAACGGCACAATGCAAGTAACTGTTGACTGTTGCTAGCTGCTCACCCAGGAGGATCCATTCCTATAAGACAGTCAGCTGGATGTCCTTAGATTGAAAACTTTCAACCAATCTGTCTGGAGGATTTGATTCAGTTGTGTCTGTAAAAATCCTTGATAACATGTTGGGAATTGGTGACATCTGAATTAATTAAGTTAAACTGAATCAAGCACAATTTCCACCTCCAGATCTCCTTTGTAAGTAGAAAAAAAGTAAAAAAAGATGTTTTTGGGCTCAAAACAAACATGTTGGTGTCCTGAGACAAAAGTAGGGCTAGCTAAATTCTCAGCTTGGTGTTTATTGGGAAGAATGTCTTACTGTTGTAAAGTTGCAAGTTTAATTCTGGCTGCCTTACCTGTCAAACAGACCTTTAACACGGCACTCTACCTGAGCTGCCAGCTAACACATTGGAAACAAGGTTCAGTCAATTTAACATAAAACAGATTAAAGTGGAGATTAAAACACTGATGTTTGCTGTGAGAAAGAAAAACAGTTTTAGTCTAGAAACCTGATAAACAGACCCTGTAGGGATTCCTGTTTTTTTTTTTTTTTTTCATATTCTTCTAAAACACTCATGGATGTGTGAGATCATTATCCTGTTCAAATCTGCCCACTGCTGTGGCTTTCTGACTCACCTTAATCCTCATAATCAGTGTTTGTTACGGTTTTTCACCAGCATTAACTGAGCAGTAACTGATGCAGCTGCTTAGACGTTGAAGAAACTTTGAGGATGTCGTGTCAGTGAAACTTAAAGTCCATCTGCACCTAGTTTCCTTGAAATGTTGTTTGGCTCTAAATGTCAGTTTAAGATGACGCTGCTCGCTTGCTGGACTGACGAGGCGATCAGTTGCAGCTGAGGTGAAGTATCATGGCTTAAAGCAGTAAGATTTGGAGGGAAGGGGTTCTTACTGTTTTATGGGATCTGCAGATGTTTTTTTTGTGAAAGTTTTAGCCTGTTAAACTTTGTGCTGATAATTACTGAATACTGCCTCCGCTTGTTGAGGCTCTTTGTCATACCATAGATTTGGCACCAATTTCATTGTTTTTCTTCTTAGAGATTTAGGTTTATGTTTTCAGAAATTCCTCCTCCCTCTTTGTTTTAGACGTCTAAGTAGACCACAGACATGTGTCCAACCATCCAGCAGTCAAACAGCTCACCTGTTTCCTCAGCTTGTCTTCTGTTGATCAATTCATTTCATCGCTTTGATGCAGAGAAAAGTAAAAACATTCAGGACACATGTCCCATGATGACTAGAATCTTCCATCCCTTCACTGAATCCAAGATTATAGTTTGATTATGAAGGTAAAACAAAGAGTTTGTTTTTGTTGCCTGTGTAGGAATTTGTTAATTCACTTTAGCGGCCATCTTCTAAATGATGTTTGTCATATAAGTGATTCCCTGGTCCACATCAGTGCTCTGTGAGGAATGTTCTCATCAGAACCCTCCTATGTAACTTCAGAGGGTCAGATCCATGATATTACTACGTAGACGCCTCATTAGATGCTTTCAGCAGTGAGGCCGACGTGTCTTTTGGGACGGCCATCTTGGGTCAGAACACAGTTCCGACAGCTGCTGTCAGAATGAATAGGAGGAGCCTCAGATCTCGTTTTAATCACATGGAAGAGAAGTTGAGGATAATATTGAAGCACTAACTTCAATATTAACCCTTTAAAGACCAAAACAAATATTACAAATTCATTCAGATTAAAAACTCTTTAAACAGAAATCAAACTGGATGAAAAATATACATGCAGTTAAATATTTTGCAATTAAATAGTAAAATAATAAACACAGAGTTTTATATAAATATTTGCTAATATTATACAAAATAAATAGTATATATATTTCTACAGTAGTAGCCATTAAAAAGTTCCCCACTTTCTTTAAAGGGCCCTTGGCTGATCCTTGGATGGTCCTTGGATTGTCCCCTAGAATTCCTTTTTAAACATCAAGAAATTAATTAATGTAGAAATTAATGCAAGTCAATGGAAAAGCCTCACAGCGATAGTGAGAGATGTCTTTATGAGTGTCTACAGGATCCTCACTTTACTTCATGTTTGGCCCTGATAAGACTGTGTGTGGACCCCATTTAAACAAATAAAGCAGAGGAATGCAGAGACTTCAGTGACCACATCCAACAAAGAACACACAGAGTCTGACTCACAGATTGATTGGAAAAATAATTATTGGAGGGAATCAGATGTTTACAGAAAAGATCACATTCAGAGCTGCTGTCACATTGTTTCTTGTTTGGCAATGTATGATGGGCTGTTTCAAGACCTTTCTTACATTAGTTTAAACATTTTGTGCAAAATCAACTCTTTCTGCCATCAGATGGAGAAGCTACAATCATTCTGCATTCTATGGTAAGTGTGCATAGCATTTAAATAACGGTTCAAATTCTTATCCCCACAATGCTTCCTGGGTGCTTCACAATTGCTGCTAACTGTTAACCAAGGGGATGACTTACATGAAAGTGATGAATATTGTTCTAATCTACAATTATGTCCAATATTATAATTATCACTTCCTAGAAGTGAACTTGATGCTCACACTAAGGGGGAACATGGAAACTACGCATAGTGAGAACCGGACCCGGATCCTAACCCAGGTTCTTTTTGCTTAGAGGCAGCATCCCAGGCCCCCATTTTCATTTCATAATCAACATAATTCATCGTATTTATAGTCACATCACAGCATTTTAAAGCACTTTTACACAGACATTTCAACCAGATCCTCCAGTCAGATTAGTTCAATGTTTTCTATCTAAGTTAAACCACCTGATTGCATTCAGTCATTGACTTGCAGGATTGTGTTTTCCTGGGTGAGCAGATGGACAGTAGACATCCCTTTGCATTGTGTTGTTGATTCTGGAGCAATCTGTCGCACTGAACATGCATGTGGCTACAGTGGGGAAGAAAAACCTCCAACAGAACCAGACCGTGTGTGAGTGGCCTGAACCGTGTGTCTCAGTTTGTGCAGAATGTAGATTTGCAAAGCATAAACCAACCATGTCACATTAAAAAAACAGCCAATGGCTACGAACTGGACTAAACACTGGAAAACAGGCCCAGTTCTGTAATCTGTAATGGGGTTAAAGGCCCTTGTGCCCTTTTAGGCACGTCTCTAGTTCTATTCACCTGAGTCAAATAATGAGGTCATGGGCAGGCTGACCCCTCCCTCCAGGATGGTGTCAAAGCTGAACAGAGCGCTAGGCCAACAGAGATACAATTCTGTTGGCAGCTGTATCTAATAGAAACCTGGGTTGTTCTTATTCTCTTCTGTCATGAAATAAATTATGGGGCTCTAGATAGATAGAAGAGGGCCTTTCATACAGTAGCAGCCATTCAAGGCCCTTCCCAGTCAAACTCCACCCAAATGGCAGCCCACTCCCCTGCGATTCCCAGCAAAATCCCCTCTAACTTCCAGCCACTGGCCTTCTCCTGGGCATGTTTTTTTTTTACTCTGACTCCACCCTTCACTGAATTACAGGGTCTGACCAGAAGATGGTGCTTCTCTTTAGATCTTAATGTCCACAAATCATGACCGAAAGGATATTTTAGTACAAAGTTGAGTACAACCAAGGACCAACCAAGGGCCAACCAAGGACCAGCCAAGGACCAGCCAAGGACCAACCAAGGGCCAGCCAAGGACCAACCAAGGGCCAACCAAGGACCAGCCAAGGGCCAGCCAAGGACCAACCAAGGGCCAACCAAGGACCAGCCAAGGGCCAGCCAAGGACCAACCAAGGGCCAGCCAAGGACCAATCAAGGGCCAACCAAGGA